TACCTCAGAGCATCATCTCCGACCGTGACCCGCGCTTTACCAGCACATTCTGGCGACGCCTACACGAGGTGTACGGATCCCAGCTCCGCTTCTCATCGTCTTACCATCCTCAGACGGATGGTCAGACTGAGGTCACCAACAAAACTCTCGGTAATATCCTCCGAAAGTTTGTTAGGGATGACCAGCAGTGGGACTTACACTTAGCCCACACGGAGATTGCGTACAACTACGCTGTTTCGCCAGCCACGGGGATGTCGCTATTCTATTGCGACCTCGACTACCACCCTCGTGTACCCGCAGACTTCCTACGACCATCGCGGTTGCGCCCAGACACTCGTTGTCCTGCGCTTAACGATTGGATCGCCCACATGGTGGCGATTATGAAACGCGCACACGAGAGTCTAGCCGACTCCCAGACTCGCATGGCCGCACGAGCGAACCGATCATGAATGGATCATCCATTCAAAGTCGATGACGATGTGCTCGTCGATGCATGCCACTTACAGCTCGAAGCAGATATGCTTCGCAAGTTCAGGCGTCGTTTCTTCGGTCCATGCCGCATCCCTCAGGCCGTCGGTTCTGTTATTGTCGCTAGCCCGGTCAGCTTCCGTGTGAAGCTACCTGATTACCTTCGACAGGCTCACGTACACGATGTTTACCACGTCTCCTTGCTGCGTCCTTATCGCAGACCGTCCGAGCGCTTCGCCGGACACCCTTATGAGCACCCTCCACCTATCATGGTGGACAGTCACGAGGAGTTCGTTGTTTCCGACATCGTATCACGCCGAGTTACCGACGATACCCCTCCACGCATCGAATACCTTGTGCATTGGAAGGGCTACCCTGGTGAGGAGGCTACTTGGGAGCCCCTCGAGCACTTGCAACACGCCAGGATGTTGGTGCGTGCATATGATCGTGCTCGTCGTGCTGAGATATCTGCCCGTGCTCAGCCGACTGACCCTCTTCCTCCTCCTTCGGCTGAGGAGATTGCCGAGGATGAACCCGCTCCCTCTGAGGCCGTTCCTCAGCTGCAAACGGTCGCCTCCGAGCGTCCACAGCGCACTCATCGTCGCCCTTCGCGTTACGATGACTGACACTCTTATCCTCTATCTTTCCCCTACTGACTCACACCATCAGGTACTCCATCATCAGCTTCTTAAGGATGTCAGCGTTTTGCAGCTCTGCTTCGACATCGACTCGACTGCTACTTCATCGACGTCATCGACCACCTCATTGGCTTCAGCTACTTTGGACGTGACTACTTCACGCCACCACCCTACCCTGTACATTCCCTTGCATCTGCCGCATGATGGTTCTCACTTAGCTGGGTCTCTTTGAGTTGGACTCTCCCTTGGTATCGCATAGGCATTGGGACCATAGCGTTATCTTGGTTTCCCTGCTCCCAGATCTAGCTCCTTCCTCCCCCAGTCAGTGAGTTGTGTGCATGTTTCCCTCACTCACTGCCCTCATCACCCTAGTGTCGGCTCTTGCATGCCTTCAGTTAGGCATATCTCCACCCTATTCCAGGCTACCCTTTTCATGGTCGACCCTGCATGGTGTCACCCTTTTGTCGAGCATTACCCGCCCTGGTGGTCTATCTGTTAGGGTCATTGGTTTTGTTTCGCTACCACTCTCCCACCTTGAGCCTGATGACCTATCCCACCTTCATGTGTGACTGCCCTTAGGAGTTTCGATTCTTAGGCTACATTCACCCCCTCTGAGACCATCCCACTCTTAGTGGTTCTGCGACATGACATTACCTTGTGACATATTACTTTTTCCCTTTCGGCACTGAGGCCATTGCCTCCAGGACTTTAGGATTGTATCATGCTACATTTCATTTTTCTGCTGTTAGTTAGGATATGTATACCAGACATTTGCTTTTCATTTGACATTATGTAGCTTAGGCTGCATCACATGGACTCAGCATGGAGCTTGCTCCGCATCCTAGATTTCTCAGCTTTCGTTATTGCAGAGTTCCGCTGCTTTTGCGGATAGCGTGTTTATGGCTCTTGCGATCCATTACAGGTCTGAGGATCGTGCAGCGGGCCTTCTTCTGCCCTGGCCTACAACCAGGGCCTATCTTGCTATTTTCCCTGTTCGGCCTGTGGGACCAGGCCGTGTGGTTATTCAGGTCAGTCTAGTCCTGCCCGGTACCACTGTCGGTACCAGTCCAGTCCAGTCCAGTCAGTCCGCTGGGGGTATACCCCAGCTGCAGTCTGTTTTGTGACTCATTCTTCATTTGCACAGATTGGAGTACATGTGTGTTGAGTCTGCGTTGGAGTTGCGCTGTCCCTTCCAGCTCCATCTCCATCTCCCCCATCCTCATCCCTACGTCTTGATCCTGACGGACCGCCATCCCGGCGGGTCCATCACAATGCATCTGACTGTAATCATGTCCAGAGGTAATTCAAAAAAGTCCAAGTGTGAAAACGCCCTCAGTCATACTGACCTCGCGGTTTTGACCAGCCACTACCTCCTAGACACAGCCAGCCTTCCTTGGTCGGTCATGCTAAGGACCTTTTTTTTTTTTTTTTTGGAAGATAAGACTCAGATGACGCCAACTACTGTCCTAAACCACGAATACACGGCCCTAGCCTTGCAGGCCGAAACTCGTCGCCACAAGAAAGCGAGGCCGAAACGTCAAACGCTGGGCCTGCCATTGATAAATTGGATCGGCGGTCGCGTTTTTGTTTCACACTTCCAGAATTTGAGGTGTCAGGCCCGCGGCCCAGGTACCCATGTACTGGTGCTTTAACCCGAAAAAAAAAAAAAAAAAAAAAAAACGTATGTACATTCTATTCAACTGACCTCTGAAAAACGGGTCCTAAAAAATCGTCGATTTTTTTCAAATAGGACGTACCATACGAATCTAACGTCCGTACGTTGTATTCGAATACAACGTACGTGAGTTGTATTCAATTTTTTGGAAATCTCGAATTTTCAAAAAAAATCAGAAAATTCCAAAAAAACAAATGTTATGCACAATTCCAAAACAAACATCTTTCGCCTGAGGGTCATGTCGAAATTCACAACCACATTCGAGAAACAAAAAAAAAACGAGAATATATGCCCGGTAACCCCCAGGCAGAGAGGGAGAAGAGAACAACAAACGATGGGCTGTGACAAACTGTTTCATCGGAGTTTCACCGACCATATACACACACACACACACACACACACACAC